CCCATTTTGTGCGTACGCAACGTTTATACATCAGGCCCCAGATGCTTATCTTTTAAAATGGGAGATAACAGAAGAGCGGGCTTTTCTGTTGCATTGTGTAGTTTGAATATGGGGGTGTGTGTAGATACAGAGACATCAGCTGTACCCTGGACACCAGTAAATCTCTCATGTCAGTTTTCACTCAAAAAACATAAATAACAATAATTAAATAAATAAATAACTAATCATTTTAAATTAAGTATTAGAAATGCTACCAAAAGGCAGTATAACAAGTACTACCACAATACATGAAACAAATTACAAATTAAATGCTGTAACTAGTCACATTACCATAGCAAGAAAGAAACTTATTTGCCTTATGGTAATGATGAGAACATGCTTAATTGTTATGAATTGTAATGGCTCTAAAAATTATCCTTCAGTTTGACTTATTTGGGTTGAAATATCTCCTAAATTTTTATCAGTGGCTTGGTGAGATTCATGCAGAGGACATATAAATATATAAAAACTTGTGATCGTGTTGACCATTTTCATTGCCCTCTTGCACAGATCCTGTTTATCCTGAGCACTTTCCCTGTTTGACTGTTTCACAGGCAGCTTTGTTAATCGACACAATTCACACAGCAGCGAGATCATGAAGGAGGTTTTGATTCTTATGTCTGTTGATGTAAGTAGAGTGTGTTCCCATCTCATCATCTGTCAAACACTCATAACAGTTGATCAGAGGCCGTTAGCAGCTGTCGGCTCACAGCACAATGACTCTAATGAGATGCATTCTCCCATCAGCCTCAGCATGTGCTGGAAGACTGCTTCTTCGCTATTATCATCACAAGCGATACATTACCAGAGGCTGCAAATCTGGATGGGTGAGTATGTATCCATTATTGGTAATGGCGAAGGCATAACCATGGATTCCCAGCTGTGAACAGACACACACACAAACACACACACCAGAAGCAGCAATCAAATTCAGAGATACTGTCACATTTTCAAATACCTCGTGAGTTTGTCTTTAAGTGCTTCAGCCATCTATAATCTAGAGTAATGCTAAAAGTTTACAAAATGAACACTTAACAAATTTACACATTTAATATTTGCAGTAAACTGGACCAAAAATGTTGAGCACTCATCCGATTTTAGTCCAATCACACACTCTGAAGAATGGCACAATGTTCAAACCAGTTGTGATTTGATAAGATTCAAGCACTGTATCTGTCCACACCAGATGCAACATATCAATCAAAGATCACAGCCAAGAATGCGTGGGTTGGCCCTCTCTGCAAACACACTGTTGTATATATGCCGAGGTGTTGCACATGTATTGCTGTGAATGGTGTACTGCACAATATAGTGTATCCAGGGCGGCTCTAGTAATGCAAGTCCTGCCTTTCCTTTAAAAAAAATACAGGAGTTGGTTTAGCATGTCAGAAAATAGCTGCCTGGAGACTTTGCAAATATTGCCGGGGAGTGAACTGACTTTCCTTGAGATTTTGCTCACTTTTACAACAAAATGTATAAAGATATAATCAAATATATAATATTTTAACATTATTCAAAATACATAGTCATACAATCAGAGAGTTTACATAGAGTTCATGGTTTGAATTTAATTTAATTTTTTAAGTTATTTTCAGTATCTGGGGACTTTGCTATAAGTTTGATTGCATCATATAATAATTGCTGTTAATAGTGTTCATCGTCTGTTTGATAACGTATTTAATTGATCTTTCCGTACATTTCTGCCATATGTACATTAACTGACAGTCACCACTTAAGCTACTACTAAATATTGTAGAAACTTAATTAAAGTTGCTTTGCAACAATTTGTATCGTGAAAAGCACTATACAAATAAACTTGAATTGAACAATTATCCATTGTCTCTTTCATTAAGGTTGCTGCACAAAGTGATATTCAAACTCAAATTAAATCATTTTATATAATGTGAATCAGTCAGTACTTAAGCTGTCAGCTGCAATGTTACAGAAATAGAAACCATTTAACCTGTTAACCCGCACCCACGGGCCGGAAGGGCGTGTTTAGGCGTGTCTGTGCTATTTATTACCTTTGTTTTAAAACAATATTCAATCAACTATCATAAACTATATATCATTTGGAAGCTAAAACACTCAAGATCCATGTTCTGAGCTTGTTTTTTAAATCAATACACCAGAGAGGAAAGGGTTAACATAAATGCTGAAGGACCGGCCATTTTAACATGTACAAAGTGAACGCAGTACTTACGTTTCAGCGCCTATAGCTCTGGTCAGCTCGGACTAATCCAAGAAACACCAGCACAACATTTCAAGATAAGAGTCCACTCTTCAAAATGCATCCCACTTTTTAATCCAAAACAACGAAAAAATAGGAGAAAAAACGAAAGATCCTCCTTAGTTTACATGAGCGATTCGAGTTACAGTTGTAGATAGCGTCCATTTTCAAAGAAATATCGATTCCAGCTTTGAAATGGCATTTGTTTCATATAGAATAGTCTCTTCCGAGCAAAATGAGCCCTCCCAGTCTCTCTCCTTCAATCACAGGCGATGTTATAACCCAGAACAGAGAGGGAGTCGCTGACAGGTTTAGCGAGGTGCCAATCTGCGCTCCGCAAGTTTGGGCTGTTTGAAGCCAGCCAATGCCTAGCCAGCACAGTTTTG